GAATGTTATATACACAACATTCCCAATCATAGTTATTAATGTTGTGCACTGCTGTTTGAGCTGCGTGCGCTGAGCTAAAGATGATCACCGGTAAACTGAAGCGCTCTTTTAACTTAACCAAACGCATTCTATATGAGATAAATCAGATATACAATCAAATAAACACAATATTACAACGTACAATTGCACAAAAGGCTGCAAACGAACAGCGCACATCTGAAGTGTCTCTGAAGGAAATAATGCATTATTTATCGGCTTTAAGATATCGGCCAAATTTTCTTATCAGGCCGATACCGATAACAGAAAAAAAATCAGCATTTATCGGCCGATACCGATATGGTGGCCGATATATCGTGCATCCCTAGTTTTATGCAAATCTATTGCCTTTAGAAATATTACTGACTATGATATTCTGGTCTCTAGCTGGCGAAGACTTCCTTCAGTGCAAGTCTTTGGGAATTTCGTTTCATTGTTCGCTCAGAAAAGTAACAGCACACAAAGCCGCATTATTCGAGGTATCGTTCATGTGCATAACAAGCGTTACATCCTAAAGTTTAATGCCTTTTTAATAGAGGTTTGCCTTTGGTACCACTAAAAACGGTACTAAAATCATGCTCAAGATTAAATTGACAACTTTTTAACTTGCTTTCCAAGTTCACCTATGACTTAAATGTTGCCACGCTCGAGAGCACATCAACGACTTATTCATGCCTCTCATTACATCACCTAAGAAAAACAGGAGAGTAAAGGAAAAACTATTTTAAAAAAAGCATCTATAACTGCACAAGAAAAAGAGGAGGTTAGTAAAATCTGAAGCTTTTCTCAGTCTGCAGAAGAAATCCTCCACTTGGAACACAAATGAGACATGTTAAAAACGTTAAGCCCCTGGCACTGGTGTAAGCAAACCATACGCTTTTCAAACTCGGCCAGCAGCGCTGTCAGCATGTCTCATCACACAATGTGGGTCTGGGGCTCAGCCAGGTGTGATTTCTGTACGGCAAGAGTTGCAGTGAGAAAACCACGCTTCAATCTTATTACAAAAGATCACAGGTGATTTACAGTGATCCATAGCAGCTCGACAGTCCAACAAAACATTCTCGGTTTCAAGCTCAAATGCATCTTGTGGCTTCAAGTTTCTTCCCCTACTTACGACTGTGAGCAGCAACAGTTTTGAAAGCTCACGGCATCAAACTACAAAATAGAATTACAATGCAAATGAAATTTAAATGTTTAGTTCTTAAACATGGATTAAAGGGGTCTGGTAAAGTGCCAAGAAATTATGCAGACTATTAATTAACCCCCATCAGAAATGGACTTAAAAATAGAAGTTCTATGATGTTCTAGCACAAGGGACTTTTAACACATTTATGGACACGTTTAGCATTTTAATAATAATAATAATAATCCCATGATGCACCACTTGTCATTTGGCTGGTCCTACAAAACCAATGCCAGCTTTGCCAATGATAAAAGCAGAAACATGTCTGTCGTAATGAACTTTGGTCAGCTGTGAAACCATCAGTCAGTGACACGAGTCGTCATGAATAAGCCATGAACCTGAGCACAGAAGCTGCTTTTTAAAAATCGTGCACACGCACTGCCTCCAAACACTAAAAATGGCAGCGCTATTAGTTCATCTCTCAAGAGATACAGGACTGTATGCCAGCGTAGACCCCGAGGCATTCATTTTCAGCAATTACTAACTGCAGAATATTCAGTGCTCCCTACAAAGCGTGCAGGGATCCATTCATCACCTGGCTTTACAGTACCATCTGGACACTGGGCTGTTTGTCTTTTAAAGTGAACCCATTACTGGAAGGACAGGCTGTAATATACATCTAAATTAATCATCTAACCTAATGAATCAACTTATATAATGTGCTTTCAATTACATATGGGGATTGAAAAATCTGATTAGCGTTCAAAAGTAAGAAGTTGTGAAACAGTCTAATCGGAACAAAACCTAAACTCTGCATGTGTTAAAAAAAAGCGTACAGTGGTCAGGAAGTGAGGTCGCGGCTCATTCTGCTCAAGCTTACAAGCTGAGAATATCAAATGACAACCGGAGAACGAGGAAGATGTTTTATGCATTCCATCAGAGAGAGCCAGAGCATTCAGACGTAACATGCAGGAAATGTTCAAAATGCATGAATTTCCTGAGAATGAGGAAATGAGAGGAAGAAAAGGACAAATCTGCATCTTTAATAATTAGAATATCATTGTGCAGTGGCACATTTTGAGATCTTTGCTTTAAAAGTTCACTTCAGAGTCATGTGGACGTGTTTGGGACTGACAACCATATTTACTAACAGTACTGCTAACAAATGTTCATGTTAATAGAACAGCTAACAGAAGCAACGCAAAGAAACATCTTATTTTAATTGAATAACTAAAGGCAGATCTATCGTCTATTGAGAGTTAATCTTAATGACACGTTAATCTGTCAAATCTTACTTTAACTGACCACAGCTTCATAAATCCTCCCAAAGAATAAACTGTGTAAACATAAACTGTACTTAACACACTAAATCATGACTGATAATAACCCTGAATTCAGCCTAAGGTGGTAGATCTCATGACTAATAAAAAATGTCCGGGTCATTTGTTCCCAAAATTAAAAGAAAAGAAGAAAAACATTTTTAATAAATAATAATAATACAATTATTTAATAATTTCACTTTTTTTTTAAATGAAGGCTGTTACCAGAACATGAAATTTTATACATGGTGATATTATTATTTTGTTTATTTATTTTAATTAAATATATATATATATATAAATGAATAAAAAATAAAGTAATATCACAGTGCAAATAAACCTTAAATGGAACTAAAACTATTTTCTTTATGAATTTTTCTTTTGATTTTGAGGTGAACCATTACCCACTATTCTTACTAGAACTAGTCTACGCTGGCAAAAGGCATCTCATGCAGCCAACAACTTTCATTTTGAATGTAAAAGAATGGGCAACCCAAGAGAGCTTTCCAAACATACAAGAATTACTTGTCTGAACAGAAGACTCACCTTCCCGTGGTTTACAAAACCATGCTTTCTAGCGATCCGGTTGGCTTCCTGCTCTCCCCCTGTGATGTGGACGGCCCATGTGTTGGTGTAAACCTTCTGTCCAACGGATGGCTGTGGCCCAGAGGTCACGAGAATAAGTAGTGTTCCGAGCGTCAATGAGACAAGCCTGAGATCCATCAGACACAATGGAGGGAACCAAGGCAGGAGTTCCTGATGTCACCAAGTCCTTCAGCACAGTGGCCCTCTGCTATATCCGTGCTTCCCTGGGCACATGTAGAGACAGAGCCGAGGAAGAGAGATGGACTCGGAACAGTTCAGGAATCACCTGGGGAGGGAAGTAGATGGAAGATTGCAGAATGAGTCATCCGAGTCGCTGGTACAATTGAGGATATGGCTCACAGATGAGTTTTAATACCGCTGAATTGACTAACTGGTTAAAAATTAACAGCACACCCAAACAAACAAAGATTCATTTTGCTGGTGAGAGCTAAATGCAGGGGTTTGATTCCAATCAGTTACAGAACCTTAGTCATATTTTATTTGACGCAAATGTAAAAGAGGCTAGGAGTAGGGCCCTATGATTTCCGCAATGCAGAAAACACAGATGGAATTGCGGAATCCAGTCATAAAAAACGGAATTTACTGTATAACGCGGAATGTCACGGGATTTGCCAAGTTTTTGATGAATAAATCAAAAGTAGGTCAGTACACTTAAATCAAAACACAAAAAAAGTCATCAACTTCCATGTTCAGTTACGACAGACTGTCATTTCTTTGCAAAACCATCCCATCGCTTCTTCTCTCTTATGACTTAGCAAACGATGATGCAAGACTCTTGTTGACTTGAGGCTCAACTTGCCATAAACCTAAGCCATTGAATAAGTAATAAAGCAGCGTACTCAATTTACCCTCTGCTTCGTCCATTCATTTAACTGAAGGTAGAGAAAAATATACTTTTTTCCCCGGAAACCACTTTCATTGACTGTTGAGATGAGTTGGCTTGCAATTTATTTGATCTTATAAAAGAAGAAAAAAATAAAACCTTTCTTGTCCTGAACAAGTCTGGATCACCTCAGCAGAACTAGGCTATCTGATGATTCAATGCACGTACTATAGGTGGAGCGATTCATGCCGAGTCCGGTTGACCGGTCCACACCCTTAATGGCCTCTTTCATAATCACATAAATGCTGGTTACACGGTCTCATTGGATAAAATGAGTGCTTTGTGTAAACAAAGGCAATTGAAATGATGTCTCACGATCTGATAAAACAACCCATCTTCTGCTCACATTTGCATTCGGTTTCACATAAAGGCCAAAAACAAAACTGCTGGCATTTCCTTTCAGGACAGAGCTATTATTCTATTATTCCTCATGACAAATGTTGTGCTCATTGCTGTGTTGGTTTAAATGACATGTCCTTTTTTACATGCTCTTTGATTCTCAAATTTCATTATCCCCATAACAATGTCAAAAGAATGCTGTCAGATGTGTTAAACTGAACTTCTTTGAAACCCAGAATCAGACACACTACCTGTTATACCAGAAATTTACCATCAGGAAAGAAAATATACATATTCTGAAACATAGATAGGATTTCACACAAATAACTCAGTACGAGTTCATTAAACTCAATATGCTGCATAAAACAGTATGTATGTACATGCATGTACCTAAAAGTCAAGTTTTAACCTAATTCTTGTTGTTTTTATTGAAAGTATACATGTATAAGGAAATCGCCCAGCATTTTATGTTTCAGATTTGAAAACACAACAATAAAAATAAAAAAACAATGACAGAATTCCGGCTACATAAAGCCTGTAAATGTATTACGTCTAGTACACTAATTCAGCTTTACTGTAAAGCAAACAGCTTACAGCAGTTTTTGATCCCCACAAATCAGTAAACACCGTTTATGAGAACACTGAAATATTATGACAAAGCTTTGACAACTGAGCCAATTTACCTCGTAAGACCAAAGTACTACACATGCATAAACAAAATTAGACTGTACATATTCCAAGACCATCATTTTCACAAAGTATTTCACAAACATTAAAACTACACTTCTTTTGCAAAAACAAATTTAAAAATAATAATAAAATAAATAAATGTTTAACATTCACAGAAAAACATGAAACTAAAACGGTTTACATGCAAGTTAACATGCACAGCGATTTATAATAACTTAGTAATAGACTACAGGTCACTTAACCCCCAACACAATGTTTTTATCAGGTCAAGATAAGAAAAAAAACACGATACTCACTTGAGCAATGCACGAGTGTCTAACCCAGATTAAGTAGGCTAAGCACTAAGCAAGAAGTGCGTAACTTTACTGACAGCAATTTAAAGCTGTGCCAGCCCTGATTTCAAAGTACACCCCCTCATGACATCACAGCATGGTTAACACTTAACAGGGAGAGGAAACCAGCACAGAGATGTTTGATGGTAATTGTCCACCACTTGGAAAAAAAACTCAAGGCAGGATGCAAAATGTGGGACTTTTAGATTCATACAAGTCTGCTTTATCTGAAAATGTTGAACGGAACCTAAATTTTATTAGTCTGCTTTATATATGCAAGCCATTCTTGATTTCAAAACACAAGCGAATGCTTGTTCCAAAGAAGAGATAAACTTTGTTTCCTGGCAAGCATTACACTTGGATTGGTAATGGCTGAAACATTAGTCTCATGGGGAAAAAGAACGAAAACATGATCAATTTAACTACTTTGAGGGTAAGAAAAACACCAGAAAAAAAAGTGGAAAAAAAAACATTAACTTTGACATGGGGATCCATGCACTTCATGCATTACATTAATAACAATACTTTTAATAAATGTATAAAATAATGTTGAACGCTGAGAACAAAACAGAGCATACACGGATAATAGACGACACTTAAAAAAACTATGCTTCTCACAGAACTAACTTGGAGGCATTTTTGTGATAACTTTTTTTAATCAGTATCAAAGTTATTTTTTTCTCATATGTGCAAGAAAACAAGCGTTTAAAATGATATGACAATATATATATATATTTTTTTTTTTTAAAGCGTGCAAATTTGTGTTCACACTAGCAGGGTAACCACAGATGGGAGGAAGGTTAACAATCAGAATGTTCACTTAAAAATGTTCAATATCTATTATTTTTATATATATTATATTTAGCTTTACTGAGAATTGTTTTGCTTGGAAAACATGTTTATGCTGTCTGTCTTGAAACGTAATTTAATTCAAATGGATAGCAGTAGGTTTCATATTTTGTTATTAATTTTAAGTGTCCAAAAACCTTTAGGGGAACACATTACACAACATACGATTGTTTCTGCATTTCTTGTGCTTTAACTTAACAACTGTTCACCCATGTGTCTTTTTAAATAAATCTATTCAATAGAATAAGATAATGTTATCAGAGGAAGATAAGTCTTCAAAGAGGTAGTCATAATGCAGTCTTATGTGGTTCGCATAAGTTTGTAGACAAACGTTACTATTAGCACGGAACAACTCATAAGCCATTTCACCTCAAGACACAACAATCCTCACAGTACTTCATAAGTAACGTTACTACATTAATTTCTTACCTCCACAGCATCAGCTTCTAATCTTCCGTTTCCTTGGATACACCGTAAATCCACTAAACCCGTCCACAGACACGACGGAAAGTCCTCCGTGTTTGACTGACCCCAAAACAAAGCTAAACTCAAGACACCGACGAAGTAGTGTTGTCAAGAGGACAGACTCAAGTGTCCTGACGCACTGGACTGTCCTAAAGTCCTCGCGCACTCATCTGCTGTACAACAGGGAAACTTTGCGATAGGTTTGCTTGCTCTGTCGCACGTAACGCAACGCTAAGGCATCACTGAGACCCGGTTCGTCTGAGCCACCATTGGACCGATACGCCAACATAGTTACGGACGCATGCTAGAACGTTTCAAAACGGCAAAATCAAGTAAACAAACAAACAATTAATAAAAAAATATACCCCTCTATCCAGGGACTGGATTGAAGAGGCGGTCTTCGCACTGCTTCTCAGGAAATACGTCACAGATCTACGCAATGAGATGCGACGCGGTGTCACGCGGTGTTTGATTTGCTTGCGCCATCTGCTGGACGCACGTGCGCAGTTTACTTCAAAAACACGAGTTGTTTTTTTAAAAGATTAGTAAAGAAAAATAGGAAACAAATATAATCCACCGAGATACAAAATGCTTACAATATAAATATCGTAAGGGTGTCATTTTTATTACTTTATTACAAGCTTGCAGGTTTGTGTCTATTCAAATTAAAAGTTAACTTTCATATTTTTAACTTTCATATTTTTTTTAGGGAAAATTAAGCACCTGGATATGTAAAGCATACTAGATATACATGATCTGTCAGTTTGACATAAAATACAATTATTGTACTCAAAAAAGCTCATTAAGAACTTTACTTGAAGTATTGACATGATTATCGTATGCATTTTTTCCACTTCATATTTTCCTTTTAGAGCTTCTCCAGGAGCCTTACAGACGGTTAAATAAATAAATAAAATCGAAATATTTTGCAAAGTGCTACAGTGAAACGTAACATATAAACTTTGTTTTGTGTGCATGTACACTACACTGTTGTTGTATTCTGTATTATGCATTTTTACGCTAACTTTAGCAACCCAAAAAAAATAAATCGTATAATCGTTGGATTTTATGTTCGCACAGTAGCCTGCGTTGCATCTGATCATTCTTCTTTATTTTATCATAAACGTGATCATGAAACTCTCTTGCGTATTTTAGAAAATTTAAATATGTTAATTTGAATATTAAACGCAACAGCAGTCTTACCACTCCTCTAGTAGTACGATGAAGCAAAGCACTCTTCAAGTTGGAATGCAAATTAGGCGAGTGAGTGCGTCCTCTCTCGAGCGCCCATCAATTAGATTGAGAGCATCTACCCACAGCTGACTTAATGATCCAGCTAATGAAGCTCCTGAAGCCCAAACTCATTATGGTCACGTCAAGCGGGATCACGTTTCAAAGCGTTTATTTCATTTCATATTTCCCAGCTTGCTTGCCATTATGGTAATATTTAAGCATCGGTGGTTTGATGGCCAAAGGTCAAGCTATATGTTTTATTTGTCAGTAGTCTTTGTGAAAGGCAATGTAATGGACTGACAACTCATTATGTAGACGGACAGTTTGTTAGCGAACTGTATTTCATTATGAATGCATTAGAAACTTTTTGAAAAGCTTTTGCCCCTTAACCCAAAAGCTACAGTTGTCTCTGCAGTCATGGAAGGATTAGATTTGTTTGCAAAAGTCTTGGACGTAAACACAAAATGGATGCAGCATCACATGGTCTACAGAATCATTTAGAATCTGGTTTATTTGTGCATTACTGAAGTGTCTGATTAATCTGTGTATACAGAACCATGCAAGAGATGGTGGAGACTTTAATATAGGTGGCATGGATAGTGTGCGTATTAAGATGCATTTGAACTTCTGTATTCATTGGTTCAAAGTAGTTCTTTGTACCTTCTTGTGTGCCCTCCACTGTTTTTTTTTTTTCATTTAAAGGCAACAAGCCCAAAATCTTTTACATACAGTATAAAGTTAATTGCCTAAACAATGTTGTCCAAACACTGCTTGGTATCTGTTTTATTGGGGAAATGTATTTAGTGTACTTAAAGGAATAGTTCACCCAAAATGGAAAATTTACTTGAGTTTGTTTCTTCATCGGAGCAGATTTGGAGAAATTCAGCATTAGGCTACATCACTTGCTCACCAATGGATTCTCTGCAGTGAATGGGTGCCGTCAGAATGAGACTCCAAACAGCTGATAAAAACATCACAATAATCCACACCACGCCAGTCCATCAATTAATGTCTTAAAGGGCACCTGTTATGCCCCTTTTTACAATGTAATAGGGCTGTGCAATTAATCACATGCCATTGTCAAGCGCATCTCGTCAGTAAAGCCGGTTTACATTAATTGCACAGCCCTAATATGTAATAAGTCTCAGGTGTCCCCAGAATGTGTCTGTGAAGTTTCAGCTCAAAATACCCCACAGATGATTTATTATATTTATTATTATTATTATTATTATAAACTTCAGATAGACGGTTTTCTGAGCGCAAACATCCGTAGCACGCGTATAGAAAGTGGCTGCAGACAGCATGTGAGTACTTAGTTCTCTTTCACACATGAGTTTATGTTAAAAACACATAAGTTACAAAAACACAGTCGGTTATGTGAAGGTAAACATCTGGGAAAGAAATCGCATGTTTATATTAGATCTGTGTATTAAGTGACATCAGCATAATATACATTACCTATACTGCTGTCTATGCTATTAATATGACCCAAAGAATAAAATGAAAGCAGAGAATCACTTACTGCTCTGGACTGAATAACGTCTATAGTCGTAAGAAGACATTTCTTACTTGAATGCTGCTTTTAAATGCTCTAGCGGGAAGTTAAACATTATGTGTCTATCAACAATCGTGGGTGGGGCTGGTAAATTGTGATTTACACTTTACGGATTCTGTGATCGACTTAATGATATATGGAGATTGTTTTTTAAAAATGAGCGCTTTTTATCAGTATAGTTGTAACGGGGCTGACGAGACGTGAGACGTGTGGATCCATCTGCAAGCTTTTATTCAAGAGACGTGATATAACAGGCAGGGTCGAACACTGGCAAACAGGTATATGGCGGGCAAAAACACAAGAATAGTCCTAGGGCTAGCGTAGGTCACCGATCG